CTGTCTCACATTCTGTGGTGGTGGTTGCGGTAGTGGGGTTGGTGTCCTTTGTCACTAATTGATATCCGAGAACAGGGGGAGTTCGTAGCATATAGTGTTATGAAAAGTCTCCCTCTGTAGCTCCAGGAACTAAGGGAGCTCAGCAGTGGAGACGTTCTTCACGTTTGTTTGCCACTTTCCTCTGTGGCAGGGACGTTGAGGGCTATGGAGGACTCACTAAAAAGCACCCAGATTATCCAAACTCCGCCCATCCCTCGTCTGGCATGGAACTTCTCATGTATATATCACAAAAGGGTTTCCTTTCTTCAGAGGCCTGTTAAAGGTGGGTTTCTCTGAGAACAAAATCATAAATCTGGCTGTATTAGGAGATAAAAATGAAGTTTGGGGAGATGCTAAAATAGTCATTCTGAGAAAGCTGAGGACTCTACGCGCATTGAGTGAAGCTTCTTTCTAATGTCTGTCTGTCTACTTCCCATAAACATAGGAAATTCCCTTTGTTTGGAAACCAACCTGGGTAATTCTGGGGGACAAAATCGTTACAAACTGACATCTTCTCAGGAGTTGTCGAAGGTTTTGGAAAGGGATTGTAAATGATCAGTTAGTAGTTGGTCTGAGCTGCAATATTCCAGTTGCTGATTTATTTATCCTTATGTTCCTCTCCTCCCAGTCTGATGTTCCCCTGCAGGTGCCGTTGATTAGGGAGACAAGTGACTTTGTCAGTTCTATTGATCAGAATAAATTACTAGCAACTAATTTATGGACCTCGCAGAAGTGCCTTTGATGTGGTGGGGTGTGCTCTATTGTTCAGTAAATTGGGTTGTCAGAAAAAGTTATTGTTACAGTTCTCTCGCATAGCAATAGCAACCAGCCTCGTGGAAATGACAAAAATCTCTTCTCCTACCAGCAGAATGTCATGATGGTTCTGAGTAAGAGGGTGATGAACTCTCTCCCTACAAGTTGTGACTATAAAAAGGACATCCCAAGTGCTCTATATATGTTGTCCATCCACGGTTTCTGTAAAGGCTAATGACCTTTCTTGGACTTGCAAACTCAGGGAATTTGCTTGTGACCAGCGATTGCAGGTTGGGCTTGGCATCTGCAGAACTGCTGCTTAGCACAGTCTCCCCAACAATGAGATTCTGAGGTCAGAATTTTGCTAGTAATTGGGTTGATGATGCTTGAGGCAGAAGAGAATCTAGCTCTTCTGTGGATAAAAAGCTGCAAGGTTGACGATGGCAAACTGATTTTTGCCAGTCAACTAAGAAGATACAATTCATTTAAAAAAAACACATGGACAGCAGAGAGGTGTTTGTTTATAATCAGATTCCATACTTGAAGATATGACATTTGCAGAAGCAAGAAAATTACTAGCAAAGAGTCCTCCTAAGCCAAAATGGAAAAGCAGTGCAACAAGCAGACACATAAAGGGGTGGCATGTGGCCAGGCCTCCGTGTTGGAGAGCTCTTATTAGGGTACTTTCTTGCTTTTGTTTTATTGCAATATTATGAAATGGGAATTTTCATGTTGCAATTACTGCAAAGAAGCCTTTTTGGTTAATAATAATATATTTGTCTTGCTGGAGATGTCTTCCTTCCTTTGTTGTTTTTGCAGGTATGTTATTTATCTAGGTTCTTTTTTGATGCCCCTCACTGTGAGCATTTGAGCATCTCCAAAGAAGAATGATGTCAATGATGCCTCATTATTACTTACCTATGGGAAAGAGTCAGGGAGGGGAGGGGTCTTTTAACTATTACATTTAGAAAAGTGGGAATACTGGCAGAAGGCTGCAGTTGCAGAAGAGCTTGGGAGAACAAGTGGGTTTGGCCTTTAGCTCTTAACAAATTGAGATTGGTGGTGTTTCTTATTCCAGCTGATAGTGAGTACTGTAGTCCAGCTGCTGTGAAGTTCTGTCTTCTGTGGTAATGAGCCTCCCCCACTGTGCCGGTGAAACGGAGCTGGAGCTGTCGTGGGAAGTTTTGGTGGCACAGGGAAAGATGTCCTTCAGGACCCATTCCAGGCAAGACTGAAAACCAGGAGAGCAACCTTGAACTGGACTTGGTCCAGCAGGGAGCCAGTGCAGGGACAAGCAAATCAGGGTAACGTGTTCCCAGCAACCTTTGCTGCTGAGCAGAAGAGCTGCTGTATTTTGAATTCCCGACAGCTTTGTCATGACTTGGGGCTTGCTTAATTCCTAAGTATAGAGAACTGCAGTAGCTGGGCCTAGGTGTTACAAAGTTGTAGATCATGATGGCCAGATCTGAGTCCAGTAGGACTGAGTGTGCCCCTCTGGCCAGCAGCAGATGGAAGTGGGTGTATTTCATCAGTGTGTGTGTTGTTGCACAGGCTCAGTGCAGAGACTCGGAGGACCTCAACCAGACCACAGCAACAATCTGATGGCAGATGCCTTTGATAAATGGGGCTGTTATAGAATGAGGGAGTTTCTTCTCCCCCACCAGTATTGCTACAGTTTTGTCTGGGCTCATCTTCAGCCAGCCACTCTTCATCCAGGTGCTAATCTCAGCTAGGCAATGAGAAAGCTGGGTGACAGGGTTATCGCTGTTTGATGTAAAGGATGCATTGAGCTGGGTGTCATCTGGGTACGTCTGGCATTCCAGCTCGTGGTCTCCCACTAACTGCCACAGTGGCTTCTTAGAGAGGTTGATAGGAGCGGGATTTAGCCTTGTGCAGCCTCTCTTACGTGAGTCTTCTAGGGAGAGGTGCAATTGCCCATAGTGACCCTGAGAAGAAAGGCCTAAACCATTGCAGGCCATTTCCACCTACTCCTGCCTCTGGGATGGAGGACCAGGGCCGGCGCTTCCACTAGGCGACCCTAGGCGGTTGCCTAGGGCGACAGAATGTGGGGGGTGGCATTTCGCCGCCCTCTGCGGAATTTCGGCGGCGAGGGGCTTCTTCCGCTCTGGGTCTTCGGCGGCAATTCAGTGGCGGGTTCTTCACTCACTCCGGGACCTGCTGCCGGAGTGTCCCAAAGACCCGGAGCGGAAGGACCCCCGCCGCCGAGAATGCAGCTTCAGAGGAGGAGCTGCCGCCTAAGGCGGCAAAAACCCTGGCGCCTCTCCTGTGCAGGACAGGAAAGTTTAATGATCAACAGTATCAAATGCTGCATTGGAGTCCACCAGGAGGAGTATAGATGGTCTTCCCTGCATCCCACAACCCGTTTAGTTTAACAAAGAGAAGAATACGGGTGACTGGATCACAGTCTGTAAGTACCTACGTGGGGAACAAAAATTTAATAAGAGAGGGCTTTTCAGTCTAGCAGCCAAAGATCTAACACAATCCAATGGCTGGAAGTTAAAGCTAGACAAATTCAGACTGGAAAGAAGGTGTAAATTTTTAACAGTGAGGGTAACTAGCCCTTAGAATAACTTCCCAAGGTCATGGTGAATTGTCCATCACTGACCACTTTTAAATCAAGGTTTGGTGTTTATCTAAAAGATCTCTCTAGTTCAGGGTAGCGCTCTGGCCTGTGCTATGCAGGAGGGCAGGCTAAATGATCACAGTGGCCCCATCTGGCCTTGGAGTCTATGAATCTCTCCCATTTGCCAGAGTTGTTTACTCTGATACCTGCTCTGCTCGAGCACAGAATGCTGCTGTGATTGGTTCTAAACCCTGGCATGGTTGGCAGAGTACAGAGCCCTGCTGTTCTCTGGCCAATGGGGGGACCTCCAAAATTCTATTCACATGTGAAAACAAAGCTTATAACCTGGCTGGAAGTGCTGTTCCCTACAGGGGCCCTCAAACCCAGTGCTGAGCACACTGGGGTAGCTGTTTGTATCTGGTTAGCTCTGGTAAAGTCCTCTCTCAGGAGATGTGTGCAACCTTAATTCCTATCAGAGCTGGTGCTCAGCACCTCAGAGTTGCTCTCCTAGAGGCCTGTGCTGCCTAATTTAGGGTTTGGTCCTGCTCCCAGTTAAATCAAGGGAGTTTTGCCACTGACGCATACTGGAAGTGTGATTGTGCCTGTAGATTGTAAGCTCTTTGGGGTTGTGACCATGTCAGGCTGTCTGTACAGTGTCAAGATTGCTCACCAGGAATCATGATACCATCCTCAAGTAGGCATCTGTGCCCACGTATGTAACTCAGGCCCTGCAGTGAGAGGTTGCCTGCTGTGCCGTCAGCTGGCATGTATCTCAAGCACAAGAGGGAAGTTATGAGTGAAAAAGCCGGTGGGATAGCGTCTCTCCAGTGGGTTCAGACTGCACTCTGACGCTAGCAGAGAGCACGTGGGTGGACAGTGCAGTCCTGCCCTTGCTTGCGTGGGAGGTCTGTGATCCTTAGAATGCCCCTGCTCAGTTACTGTTATCAAATGCTCCCGTTGTAGTCACATTCATCTACAGAACAGCTCATTCACAAAGCACAACAGTGGGCTCCTGTGTGTGCAGGATTCTGCTGGCGCTGCCCTGCCTGACCAGGAGACCTTTGATATTTTGGCTGGCAGACTAGTTGGCTGTGCCCTGCCTGGTATTCCCTTGTGAAAGCCGCTATAGGCTGCCCTTTCACTGAAAGGCACTATCCTGGCATTTACAAAGCCCGGCATCACTGAAAACACTGTTAGCTGGAAGATCTGTCCTCTCCCTCAGGGAGCAAGCAATACCCGAAGCCTTTCTTCATCGGAGTCCATCCTGCCATCTGATTCCACAACTCTGCAGCTTGCCACGTGTTAGGATTTCTTGCTGTACTACACCTGCTGAGCGGGGGGATCTTTACTCTGCACTTGTGAAAGCCTTTCACACCAGAGAAGCTTTTAGCAGAGAGAAGCTGTGAAACACAGAGCGGTCGGACTATGTTAGGCTGATATCTCTGGTGGCTTCTCATACTGCAGGTAACTCCTATGACAGTTCCCCAGGGCAATGTGCTGGACCGGTGGAGTTCATGAATTGTTTTGATTGCATGAGCCTACATGGAGGTGTTGTGCATGTGAATGCTCTGGTCTCATTCTTGCCTCTGAAATTATGATTTTTCCCCCCCATTTAAAGAAACCCATTTAAAGAGACATGGATCTTGAAAGAATCATTCGAGACTCTCTGACGTGCTTCATCCAGTCCCACGTCCCTGATGCCGATCTCAGGTATGTTCCAGCTCATCTTTTGAATTTGGACTTTCTATTAGTTGCCCCTTTTCCCCTTTTATTAAACTGCAGGTCTGATGTTCTAACCTCCATGTATTGTATTCTGCTGCTCCTCAATCCAGATCTCAGGATGCATGTAATTTGTCCAAAGTCTGCTAAAACCCTCCCACCATCCATAACTTAGTGTTTCTATTCAGTAGCTTCCAGTGAAACTAAGGAATAAGGTTATTAATTTCTTATGCATTAACACAGATCTCTCTAGCTCCTATCATCTTAAAGGGATCCCAAAGTGCTTTTCAAACAGCAGACTGATATACCCGTACATAGTTTATATAACAAGAACTTTGCCCACTAGTGAAATGCAGCCATCTCTAGGTTGGAATGCGGTGGCTGTTTTGCAGTACGTGACAGCCGTATGCAGGTTTAGGACAGAAAGCGAAGAAGAGTACTACAGAAGTAGATTGTTGACCTGAAATTCTATCTACAGAGTGCAATTACCCTTGGAATCTGCCCGAAACACCAGAACTAACATTGTCACAAGTGCTCAGGACCTTGGTCAGACATTGTAACTCCAACAATACTGTCCTCCCTCCCCCAGCAGTGTACTGGGATATTACTTTAGTGCTGACTGGGAAGGAAGACGGTCACAAATTAAACTGCACAAGTCATTTTCTGCAGGACCTCAGATTATCCCTGAAAATCTGCCCTACAACTATTGACGAGGTCCTACCTGCCTTCACTTGCGAGATCTGATCCAATCATAGCACAGGAAGCTGGCCAAGTGGGTCCTGTGACTGCAGTTGCACTAGGTGGAAGGGCACTAGAGGGGTGAGTACCTGTTAGCTCAAGTCCCTATGCTTGTGTTCTCCTTGTCTCCAGTGGGATGGATGAAGTCTTCTTCTCCTATATCGCTAGTGTTCTGGAAGAACTAGGCTCACCAGAGTCGTCCGAGGAGAACTTTGATATGGACACCTTTGTGGAAATGATGGAGGCGTATATCCCTGGCTTTGCAGAAATCAACAGGTGTGTGCTTCTAATCATCTGGGACATACGTGCCACGCTTCAAGAACTGGGTCTAAGTGTCTTAGTACCACAGAGCTCAGTTGTCGAATCAAGCAGCTCAGTGCTTTAAGGATCTTCTGGTCCCAAAACCATGCAGTCATGTACGGAATCTGGCCTTTACTTGGGTATGTGATGACTAATACCAGTACAGATTGCAAGCAGGCCCCAGGCCTTCTGAGATCCCAGTTTGTTGTACTGGATTTACTATGGCACTAGCCTGCTGCACACATTGGCTTTACAGGGTCCATCTTTCTAGATCAGTGGCTCAGCAATATGGTTGTTTTGCATCGATTGGGTCGCATGTCCTCAGTGTAGAATTCCAGAAGCAGCTGTCTGCTGTTAGTGACTCTCACAACCCCTGCCAGGTGTATGAGGAATACTACACAGATACTATACAGTGATTTCAGGGTGGGGGACTTGTAAGTACCTAGATCAGCAGGAGAAGCTTGTGTTGGAAGGCGACAATGTTTATGCTCCCTATGCCAATCACACTGCAACTGTCTCTTGCAGCGGGAACATTTGTGAAATGATGTTTGCCCTCTCGGAAAGGCTCAGCGAAGCTCGCAACAAAGGTAAGTTGCACGGTGGGAGCTCAGGCATGCGGAGGTGCATCAAGGATGTGGTTTTAGTCTTAAGTTCTCTGAGGGATGGGGAGCGTCGCAGAACAATGCATGATCTTGCTATTTTAAGCTGGGATATTTAGGAGAGTCTCACATGGGAGTCTGAATCGCTTGACTTCTGATCGGGTTGAGTCAGAGTCTTGACAGGAGTGTGTGGGAGGGTTGGTAGCTTGGAATGCGCTTGTTTGTGGCTGAACTAGAGGCACTTGTGTGGGAAAATCCACTTGAACAAATCCCTGGGGTTGCTGGTGATCCCAACCGCATATAAAGCAAATGCAGAGTAAGGGGAAGGTTCCTGTACAGGACTGTTGCCCCTGAGGTATCTAGAGGAGTCTTGTGCATAGTTTGGAAACAGGATTGGACAGACCAAGTCAAATCCTCCTTCCAAAGTCAGTAAGTTGGGGATTTCTCTCTGCATTCCCGTTAGCAGCATGGCTCAAGGGTTGCAAACCCAGACAGTCTATTGTACGTGATACTTAGCCTGAGAGAGTCAGCTGGATTCTCTGTCATTGGCGTCTGTAAATCAAGATGGGATGCCTTTCTAAAGGAACTGCTCTAGCCCACTCAGGAGTTAGGGGCTGGCTGCAGGAATTGCTGGGTGAGGCTCTCTGACCTGTGCTATGCAGGAGGGCAAACATAATGGTCCCTTCTGGCCTTAGAATCTGAGAGTCAGCTGTATCAGTGCACTAAAGCAAAGCAGTAGCTTTCTGCCTGAGAACAGATGTGTAAAATCTCTGGTGGTGAGACCCATCGGGGCAGAGGGGTCCAGATTTTGCCCAACTGAAGCCTCACTGGCATCTTATCTGGAGCCAAAAGGCCCCACATAATAGAGCAGACTGCCCCACCCTTATCGTGCATACCGGAGAGCAGCCTACAGATAACGTAACAATAATACGCAGCATGGCCACAGCACCCTCCAAGCTACAATCTCAAGGTGCCTCACATGCGCGGGGAAGTATCATCCCCACTTTACAGATGGAGAAACTGAGGCATATACCCACTAAATGACTTCCTCTTATCACACACACACACACACACACACACACACACACACACACACACGCTGGGCCTTACAGCGTGCAGGAGCCTTGCCTATATGTGCATTAATTCCCAGACAACAATTGAGAGTATGTATGTACTGGTCACTTGATACGGGGATGGTGTAATTTACCCTAACTCCAGCAATACAAACCCCAGAAATTCATTTAAAAGATTAAGGTGTCACTTAAAAGAAATCCAAACACGTTAAGGTCTGGAAACACACAGTTAAGGCACCTAAGCAACCTTAACTCTGCCCCACTGTGGGCTGTATGAACAAGGCTGCAGCCATACCTGGTTGGCAGTAGTAGGAGAGCATTGGCTGGAAACCAATCATGGAGAAACAACAAGGAGTCTGGTGGCACCTTAAAGACTAACAGATTTATTTGGGCATAAGCTTTCATGGGTAAAAACCTCACTTCTTCAGATGCAACTGAAGAAGTGAGGTTTTTACCCACGAAAGCTTATGCCCGAATAAATCTGTTAGTCTTTAAGGTGCCACCAGACTCCTTGTTGTTTTTGTAGATACAGACTAACACGGCTACCCCCTGATACTTGACAATCATGGAGAAAGGAATTTGTGCTGGCATATGGCACAGTAGCTACTTTGTCCTTCCCATAACGAAAGGTATAGGTAGCGGTAACCTTTACAGGGTTGCTCATAAATAAATGTGCACTGTGTCTTTAAGGAAACGTTTGCCAAAAGGCTGTGGAGAGTGTGAGCAGAGCCCCCGCTGAAGAGCTGAACCAGAGCGATGAGCAGGGGGCAGAAGCTTCTGATGAGAGGAGGCTGCATATACCAGCAGAGGGAGCTGTAGCTCAGGTACTGGAATGTTGCCATAGAGAACTAGACACAGGACAGACACAGTTGCATACCATAGGTGTCTGGACATAATCTGGCTCTGTAGGGGTCTATGTGGTGCAGGTGGCCAGAAGCAGTATTATTTCAGGATGTGACCTCAGCTTGTGATATATGATGATCAGGGTCTTGTCAGTACTGGGAGGGGAAACCTCCCAGGAAAACTCAAAGGTTGCCAGAAGTGGTGTGGGCAACTCCACAGCTCTGAATCAGCATGGAACCAGCCCTACAGCTGGGGGACGCTGTGCTACTTTCTGGATGGGAGGTAGCAGAGCGTCTGCCTGCTTGTCATTAAAGATCCCATGGGACTTTTCACAAAAGCCAAATTCCGACTTTGACTGCTGCATTCTGCATCCCTAAATCCCCCCAAGTTCTAATTTCTTATATTCTCCATTTCCTGTCCTAAACCATCATATGGCTTCCCTTTTCCACCGGACAGGTGGCTGCATTTCAGTGGTCGGTGCCGTGGTTCCTGAAGAGAGAGTTTGCAGAACTCGTTCGGAATGTTTGTATTGTGCTGGATAACAAGCACTGATTAAATACGAGCCACTGTCCTCCATCCCCTCTGTGCAATTCAGGGACAAGCCAGCATTTACTCTCCAGGGCCCATCAGCTGTGCTCCAGCTGTAGGGAGCATTGCTCAGCTGGTATCCCCACTGTGAGCACTTCCCTGCACACCCGGTCCCATCCCTGCTCTCCTTCCCCCTGCACTGGGGCTAGAACGTGCATACTGATGCCCTCTTCTTGCTTGGTGATTGTCACCATTTGCCACTTGCTTTATAGAAACTGTCACTGCTGCACTTCAGCATCTCTGCTGCAGCGGTAGCATGCTGTGCTTAAACCCCTCCCCCCCCCCCATTCGCTGAGACTCCACACGATGGGAGTGCCAGTTGTCAGGGCTACAGGTAAATGGGCCAGTTCCCAGAATCTGTCTCTCTGGGGGGATGGATGTGTAGCAGCACAGTAGGCAAATGAGCCAACACCCAGAAGACCTACCTTGGGGGACTGCTAATCTGCTGGCAAGAGGTAGGCCAATAATATCCAGACTCCTTGCTGCTGTGTGTGAGAGCAGGGCCTGCAAAGAGCTAAACCCATAACTAGCTCCCTAGCTTCAGGGATGAGGCTTGCACCTGCCTCTGTGAGGAGACTTGGTTCTATTGAAGCTGTGGAAAAATATCTGGCTTACTGGAAACCAATTTTCCTGGCCTAAAGTGCCATGCCCCTCACTGCTCTCCAGGCTCATCCCAGGTCTGTTTTACCCTCACCAGGGAGCAGAAGGTGACCTGAAGGATGGGGTGGAGCTGCTCCTGGAGATGTTCCCAGCCTGCACCCTCAGCCAGGCTCAGAAGGCACTGGCCATGGTGCTGGGAAACCTGGAAGAGGCGGTGCAGTTACTGGTGGAGGAGAAGGTGGAACCTGGCGCAGTGGGCGCTAATGTGAAGGTATTGTGGCCCTGGCAGCAGCACCGGGGGGGGGGGATTGGAGGAAGCAGTGTCCACAAATACAGCAGGGCATCGCACAAGCTGAAATGTGGTTCTTTACCTCTGAAAGTGGCTGTGGGGATCTTCCATGTCCCCATAACAAATAGAAGAGGCCAGCAGGTCTTCACCCTGTGAGCAGAGCAGTGAGATCCCACTGAGCTGGCTCCTTCCCCAGGGACTCCAGGTACAGGCTGTCCAGCCTGCTGGGCTGCCATAAGAGAGGTTGTGCCACAGGCATTCTCCTCCCCTAACGTCAACTGGCCGGCAGCCGGGGTGGCTTCTCCACACGGGGACTAGCTAACAGGATGGGATTGAACAGGCTGATTGCTTTGTAGCTCACACACATCCTTTCCTACTCTCTAATCCCAGGAGACAGCAAGGCCCCGCCGAGCACCCAAACAAGAGGATCTCAAACGATTTATCTTACAGAAGTAAGTACCAAGCTCATGTCCTTGTTCAGTGGCAAGAACGGACTCCAATGAGGAGCTTGGGGAAATGGTCACAAATGGAACTTGCCCACCCAGGCTACCCTGCCAAACCAACCTATCCGAGAGCTTTGGTGTGTGCCACTCTGCAGTTGGGCCATTGGTAAGGGGAGGATCCTGGCATGTCTGGGCCATGGCTAATCTCAAAATGCAGGTCCAGTCAGAGAAGGGATCTGAACTCTGCTCGGGGTTTCCCTATTGATTCTTACAGCCATGTTTGGTTCAGACGAGCCTAAAGCCGCTATCCATAAGTGCTGAAGCTGCAGCCTGCACCTGCCCCGATGGGATCTGCCCCTCCAGGCTGGTTCTTTCTGCTTCCTTACGTCACTGCCAGGGATAAGCGACAGTTGGAATTCAGCTGACGGGTGTGAGCAAGGCCGAACGGAACCCAGCTCACTTTCCCAAAGCCGTGCTGTCTCCCAAGGGCTAACCTAGCTCCAGCTGATCTGACACAAGCTTGGCGTGATCGCGAGGGAGCAGATGCGTTGACCAAAAAGGTGCCACTTAGTCACATATGCTAATCTCACTTTAATGGTGGCATTGGCAAGGTCCTGCACTTACAACACAACTCAAACACAGTGATTAAGAGCAGTCCTCTAGCTGGAAATACACAGGAGCAGCTATTCTAGCTCGGGGGGAAAATGACCAAGGCTGGCTGTGCTGTCACGTAGTTGAATTGGCTCCAGAGTGGGAACAGAAGTAAAGAACTCATCAGTGCTGTGAGCAAGTACCTGTGCATCAGTCAAACGTGGAGCGAGGTGACACTTTACCCCTCAAACAAACTCCTTTAGTAAAGGATTATAGTGCATGAAGTTTTGAAGGGGAGTCATCTCCTCTGAAAGGAGAGATGCAGCCACTTCAGCACTGTGCTACCAGGAACCCACCATCGTGTCCTTCAGCTGCGTGGTGCTCAGAACACGTCGTCGATGCTGCCCGCCCACAGAGATTGGAAAGTAGCAAACCTGCTTCCTAAAATAGATCAGAACTTGGCCCTTACATCTCTGAGCAACTCTTGATAGGGCAAGGATTATGGCCCCAGATCCTCCAAAGTATTTAGGCGCCTAACTCCCATTTAGGAGCTAGGCACCTAAATACCTTGGTGATCTGGGCCTACCTGAGCAAACCAAGTAGCCAGTCTGCCTTTAGGTACACTTCACACGGCCTGGGACGTCACCCCAGGCTCCAGGGACCTTTAGCTGGCTGTGCAGGATCTCACCCATTGGAAGGATAGCGCCTTTGATGCTGCAGTACCTCTTCCCTCCCACTGTTAGTCCTGGGCTCATCCCCAGGTTCCAGCTGGAAATGGAGGGCAGCAGGTGTTGAGGTCACACTGAAAATGGGGCAGGGGGTAAGGAAACGGGATGTGAGTAGCCCTTGATAGTCACAGTGTTGTGTGTGTTGCAGCTTTCACTAATCCCCGTCTGTGTTTCAGATACATGATGGTGGACAGCGAGGAGGACCAGAAAACACACAGGCCGGTGCCACCAAAGGAGGTGAGGAGAGCCACGCTCGGCATAGCTATGAGAGTCTTTTGCTGTAACGGGGTCTAACTACCGGTCGGCAGCAGAGTGAATCTGCCACAGTGAAAGCCCCGTTCATAGAGACTTTGGCTGGAGGGAAGGGGGAACTGGTGTAAGATGGCCAGCAGGGGCTGTCACTATTTACCACTTCAGCCTAATGCTGTGGTTCCCCACGAGGGGGTAGGTATACACCAGTGGCTTCATCTTGCTTTCCTACCAGTTCTTTAACCAGTTCTCCAGCCGCTGAGCTCAGCTAGTCCTGCTCTTAAAGAATGTGTGAGACACAGAACCTAACCCTTTTAGTTGATGCCAATTGCACCTGCCCCGCAGACCCACCCAGGGCTCCTATCACTTTCCACTTCACATCAACTTCACTTCCTTCCTAGGCTCCCAAGAAACTGATCCGCTACATTGACAACCAGGTGGTGAGTACAAAGGGAGAAAGGTACAAAGACATTAAGAAGCCAGAGAGTGAGGAGATGAAGAGAACTTACATCAGCCTCAAGCCAGCCAAGAAATACAAATTCCACTGACTGACGTTCCCTGCAAGGCATCGTCCTCTACCCTGCTGCCTGAGGCATGGAGGGACAGCCCTGGGGCAGGAAGGGTGAGAGGGGCCTTCTACACTCCTCTAACTGGAACTAACCTACCACTGGGAGCCAGCATGCTGCTGTCAGCCTCTAATTATAGCATGATGCCACAGAGGAGCCTGTTCAGCAACGCTGTTTGTGTAACCCTCCAAATTGTCCCTCCGCAGCCAGGAGCCAGCTGTCGCTATGGCAAATTTGACCAACCCAGCTGCTGTGTGTCCTGGACCTCTCTGCCATTCCTTGCATGGGGATTTTTTATAGCTAATGTGTGGCTAGTGCAGTTGACAGCCACCTTTTTAAATGTGTGTGCAATAGTGTTGATTATGACTGTTAGTAAAGATGGTGTGAATTAGTGTGGAATTCAGACAGACCATGTCTGCTCCTGGGAAGGGTCACCAGGGTCTCATGGTTGGTTGGAGGCTCAAGCTGCATCCTTCTCTCTCATGCCCCAGGCGGGGACGTGGCAGAGATGGTGCCTGCAGACTGGCTACATGCAGCTCCTTTAGCAGTTTGAATGCACAGCGAGTGTAAGGGCTTAGGCTAGAAACTAGGCCTGGTATTGTGAGCTCCCCACACCTCTGCCAGCACAATTCCTGCTGGATCTGCAGCACCCCGATGGGGCCGGCAGCTGAGGACACCCCTACGGGGCCCTGCTATTTCAGGGCTGGAACCTGAGTGGCAGCCACCAGCCCTGTGATGAGCAGGGGACACAGCTCAGGATGAAGGCTTGCTACACTTCTGAACAAACTCAGATGTGAACTGAGTTCCCCGGCAGTAAGAACCCTCAGAGGCCTCGCTCTTCTCCCTGCCGTAGCAGTTGGGAATCAGGCCCCCCCTCTCCAGGGCTAGTGTCACTTTCCCCTCCAGCCCACACTTGGAGCTAGGGCTGTGATTCCCAGCTCTCATCGAGCCACATGCTAAGAACAGCAGTGTAGCTGCAGTAGCACACGCAGCGAGTGGTGGTACAGGCTAGCTGCCCGGAACCACAGCTGCATGGTCAGGGTGACTAGCCTGTGCTACTGCTGTTGGGAGATGGCCCACCCAGAGGGAGCAGAGCCCTCTGGTTTCTGACAAGGTCATTCCAGCGTGCTGTAGCTATCACTGAGACACCCTCCCCCCAGCTCAGCAAGCCCTGTCCTGGCTGGGAGGAGAGCTCACACTTCCCCTTCAATAGGGCAGAGGTGGTCTGGTTTATTCAACAGTTCTGCAGCCAGTCGATGGCCATAGTCCCTGCACAGTGTCCTGCTCTCTGTACAGCCGATGCCCAGCATGCTGGGCTTAGAGATTTTAAATATTGCTTAAATAATATATCCCATTTACCAGCCGACCTGGCCCATCCGGGACGTGTTCAGCACCACGGTGCTGCTGAGAGTGCCTCTCGCTTTTCACACCACTGCAAAGGGCTGCTGCTTCCCCCAGGAGGCAATGAGGGAGCCCCATTACAAACACAGCAGTGGCTAAAGAGCACCAAGGGGGCGGGGGGTAGAGGAGGTCAGAGAGCCCCATCAGGACCAGCCACACTGATGGGACTGACTGCTCCCTCTGAGTGTCTCAGCAGCAATTTCTTACAGCACCCTGCAGGAGGCAGAGGCCAGCTGGGCTCTCTCTCCCCCTCAGCAGCAGCAGCCGTCCCCTTTCTCTAGATCTGAAGGTTAATGAAGGGGGCGAATCCAACCCCGTCCTGCAGGAGAACAAGGGCCCTCTGCAGCGGCAGCTCCACATCCAGCTCCACCCCACGGCCACGGAGGACGCTCAGGCTGGACTCGGCCACCTTGTGACAGTGTTTCACCTTCAGCGAGCGCAGCTTGGTGCAGTACTCGGCCAGGACCCTGCCAAGAGAGAGCGCAGGCTGGAGGCCACAGCTCCTGCTCCAAGAACCCCCTGCACTGTTACTGGAAGGTGAATCTGTGTGACACCCAATACCCCTGTCCCATGGGAGGAGGACCTTGCCTGGGCATAGAGCACACGCAGGAGATGATAATCTGGTGATCAGCTCAATCCTGATCCCTCTCCATGGCGTCCCAGAGAGCTTACTGTAGCCAAGCCCATATCCATTGCATCTAGTATCTACACTGTCCTCTAGGGCCTGGCAGCAGCCTCCCCCAGCAGCGCAGAGCTCCCACTGCACCCAGCACCACAGAAGCAAGCAAGGAAGAGACCCTGCCTCCCTTCTTTCTCTCTGATCTCCCCTCCCCATCTCCTCCACACACACCCCCGCTCTGACCCTACATGGAGGGCCCCCACCCTGCATGCACAGTTAAGCAAACTTGGTACCTAATGGACTCGTTCTTGACCCGCAGACACCCGGTGAGGTCCAGGTGCTCCAGCTCAGGGCAGCACTTGGCAATCTCCTCCACTGCTGTGTCTCCCACATTGGCATTGACAGCCAGAGAAAGGGACTTCAGCCTGCTGCACTTCTGTGCCAGGTAGCAGATGGCTTCATCCTTCAGCTGGCGACAGGCCGTCAGGTCCAGGGACTCAAGTCCCTTGCAGTGGTCAGCCAGGCTGCGCAGAGAGAGGCTGTCCACCCACTCGCAGTGAGCCAGGGAGAGACAGCGCACGTGGGGGCAGCTCAGCGAGATGGCCACCAGGGCATGCCGGCTCAGCTGCAGGCAGCTGCTCAGCTGGATCTCCTGCAGGTGGTGGTTCTGGCCAATCACAGGAAGCAGCTCCTTGTCAGTCAGCCAATCAGAGCAGTTCTGGAGCGCCAACTGTTGCAGGACTTCATTGTCTTTCAGAAGGTTACAGAAAGCAGCTTTGGGGAGGTGAGGGCCGACCTGCGTTGGGAGAACAGAGAACGAGACCTCCAGTGTTTCAACGCTGCCCTGGCTCTTAGATTCTCTCCCCCACCAGCCTCTTCCTTGCACCAGACACATTAAAGAGTCAAGAGCCAGAGGAGACCTGGTAGGTCACCAAATCCACCCCCCCGCCAGGGCTGCAGCTTCTTCTCCACTTCAGTGGCCCAAGTGATGGGGCTCCCACAGCTTCCCTTAGGAGACCATTCCACAGTACGAGAATTCTTGCCCAAGAAGTTATTCCAGCTCTGCAATCCAAGGTTACCTCCTCTTAATGCCCTTGCATTGCTTCTGTTTCTAAATCCTTGCCTCTCTACAGTCTCCAGCTGTAAATACTTGCAGACAGTCCTGCCCCTCTTAGTCAGTGCTAGGGCAAGCAATGCCCATTTTGCTCTTTTTTTTTTTTTTTTTTTTCCCAGCCAGTCACTCCTTCCATTCAATCTCTCCTAAACTGTGCAAGTCCCCCTGTGAACACAGTCTTTTGAATAACTGCAGCTCAAGTGACTTTAGCCACAGTTAGTAACAAACTGAATTTCACTAAATCCACTTGAGCCACTGTTACTCCGTAATAAGTGTGTTCACTCAGACTTGCACTAAAATAACTCCAGTGGTTTTATTCGTAACTGGTTTAACATCCACCTCTTACCATTTCTGTGCTGATTTGTGTGTAGATCAGCTCTTCAGTGAGGCCCAACCTATAATCTCCTGTGTTTCCTGCTCATCAGGAAGAGCCATCCCTGCAGCCCCCCGTACCACCTTTCCAGTAAGGCTGGAAGAATGCTTGGCTTGGTGAGTTCCAGCCCCTAAGGCTGGACACACCTGCGCACATCATATTCCCATCCCCTCACCTCAAGGAGCCAGACTTATCTAGATACATCGTATTCCACACACAGCTGCAGGCATCATTCCCACCCACCTCCACACCTGGGCAAAACAGAGAGTTCATTCCCAGCGTAGGGCCTCTCTGCTCCCCCCAGCTGGTGCTTGGATAGGGCCATGGGAGGGGCTTCTGGTTTCATCATTCCTGTCAGCCTAATAGCCTATTATTAACAAATAAATCTGCTCACTGCTGAGACTTAAAGCACTCCTGTCAGCCCCTGAAAGCATGGGGGGGGGGGGGAGGGTTGCATTAATAATCTCACTGTGATTTGCCTGCCTCCCTCCCTCCCACCTACCCTGACTTTCCCATTGTAGGTTCTTCCCATAGGTAACAGCTCTCCCCAGCGCCAAGTGTAGAACTGTCCCATACCTGGCTAGAGTCAAAGCAGCGCATGTTGGCCAGGTACAGCTGGATGAGAGTCTGGAATGACTTGCTGACCCTCTGCAGGCTCAGGAGCTGTCGCAGCGGCAGATGGCAGAGAATGTGTGGCACCAGGATGTCCTCCCAGGGCAGGTCCAGGAGGTGGCCCCTGAAGGAAAAGCAAAGGCAGGTAAACCCTGGGATGCCAGTTAGACCTTGTTTCTAGTAAAAGCCCAACCTGCTTCACGACAGTGGCTGGGCAGCAGCCAACCAGTACGTCCAGAAAACAAGCTGCCAGAAGGGGAAACTAGTCGCTCGAGGGCTGCTGTTAGCAGACTCCCAGCTCAAGGCTGGATTTGCTCTCTTGTGAAGCTTTCCAGGGGATCTCAGATGTGCTCACACTCCAGTCAAGCCCTCCATCCTTCAGGCTGTCAAAAAGGCCTCCCAATTCCCAGCTGCTGGACAGGCGTTCTCTCGACAGTAAGGACGGTGAGCTGAAGCACAAGGCCAATTGCACAGACAGTCTGTTCAGCTCCTATTCTGTCGCACACCCAATCCTTCCCATTCAAGGCCTAACCAGATGGGTGGTCTGCAGTGGGGGCAGCCAGTGTTACATGTAAATAGGGGGAGGGGCTGTCATGCAGGCCCTGGCACTATGTAAGTGGTTCTGCTGTGGCAGAACAGAGCCCAGCACCCTCTGATGAGGCACGGAGGGCAAAAGAAACACACCGTACAGCAGAAGCAGCCTCCAGGGGGGAGAAAATAAGTTTTCTGCTTAAAGTTTTGTCCATTTTTTTTAAAGGGACTGAAACATGGAGCAGTAACTAGCTTTCCGTGCTTTAAAAGGCAGAGCTAGAGCAACTGCCTCAGCATGACTGTCAGGCAGTAACTCTTCTAACTACCATTGCGAGTGCCTCTCTGCAAACTAATTCCAGCAGCAGTGAAGGTAATGGGGGAGTCACTTACACCCAGAGCCGGTAAACGCACACTCCCCAGTCCAACCGTGTCAGTAGTGCCTACACCTCTCCCCCACTCCCCATCGCCCTGCTCATCACTGAGCCTTCAACCCAGGGAAAGCCACAGAGAGAGTGTCACCTGCAGAGGAAACTGCAGAGGCAGCTGGGTGGTCGCCAGCTGTGGCGGGGGTTGGTGATGGAGTAGGGAGCCTCCCATCGCTAGGGCACCAGCAAGGAATGACCCACTTCCTGCCCAACAGCTGCGAGGGAGCCCTGGGCTGGGCCGGGCCGGGCCAGGCCTGGCAGGTGGGCTCCCGTGCACATAGCAAGCCAGCAGCACTAAGTGCCCTCCTGCCAGTCTAGGCAGAGAGACCAAGCCCTGCATCGGTCACAGAGACCAGCTCCCTGCTAGCAGCGCTGGCTCCCATGCAAGGGTGAAAGCCCCACGGCAGGGGCTGCTCTGGCCCTAAACACCGCCTGCCTCCAGGGGCACTACCCGCTCCGGCCCGGCACAGCCGGGGACACTGCCGCCGCCGCGTCCCACCCCCCAGCCGGGCACTGCTGAGGTCGCTGCCTTCCCCCTCCCCGGCCGGGCACAGCTGCCGTTACCTGGGGCAGGGCCGAGTCTCCCCTGGTGGCTCCATCGGGTTCTGGTCCGGTCCTCGCCAGCCGGCCGGCTCGCTTACCCCGCCCCTAGCGATGACGTATCAATGGCGCCCGGCGCCTGCTAAGCATGTCATCCACCAGCATGCCGCTCAGCGGGGCGGAAATGCGGGTGCCCCCTCCCACAGACCAACTCAATCGAGCGCTACAGCGTCGACACGTCCGTCCCTCTGATGTGGTCTGTCCGGCTGGGCCCGCCGACCCGGAGAAAAACGATCCGGTCTAGGCCTGGCGGGGGTCCAGCCCCGGGGGCCGGGGGAGACTGAATCTGTCCCTCTTCCAACGCCTGC